GTCAGTCATTCAGTTAGTCATTCCATTCAATCGCTCATGCAGCCATTTTCAAGTTGGCAGGCTGTCAAGTGTGCAAATTAGTTTGTTTGCTTTGTTTTTATGCATGTGCTTAACCCAATTGTCCGCTGTGTGCTCAGAATTGATCACCACAAAAATAACTGCATATTCGCTAAATGTTTGCCAAATGTTCAAAACAAATATTGTTAAATGTTTGCCATTAATTGTTTTTTTTTTGCATATCTGTTTCATACATTTTTTAAATTGAATGAACATTTTTCGAATGCGTATTTAATGTTTTATGTTATGTCACACAATGCTATTTTTTATTTTTGAGCAATTAGCAGCTTTGAAATTTAATTGGTATTGTAAGACTTCCAGATTTCTTTTTATTAAAAGTTCATCATTAACACCCAATTAACAAGCACATAAATAACTTATTTGGGCTTACAGCATCGTGATCGATTCGTTTTAGAGGTGATCGATCGATATTTCTCCTCACTCAGACTGTATACTCATTAGTTCTGGATTACAGATCTCCCACCTATTCATCCGCATCACCCACAGTCTCGCCGGCAATTCATTTCCACTTCCATCCCATTTCAATCGGTACGCCTACATCAGACGCTCGATCGATAGTCTCTATTCCTATCATCCGTTAATTGCAACTAATGAATTTGCTTACGTGTAGACAATTTTCAGTTAATATTCTAATTTGTTCTCCCCACCGTTTGTAATTAGTTTCGAGAGGAAATTACAAACGACTACGCGTACTGTGGGCGTAAGACGAAAAAAAAGAAGAAAAACGAAATCAAATAGTTTTGAGTCTATAGATAGATAGATAGAAAGAGAACGGGCCGGGTCGTAAAATGTTGGATGCTTATTTTTATAGCGGATCCTCTCGGCTATCAAACGACCATAAACCGAGACAGGGTCTAAGCCTGACCGCAAATCGCAGCTATTACCGCTAGAGAAACTAAATTAATATGCAGCATTTCGTGTAATTCGCCCACCAAGCCAAAACACTTCCTTAATAAAGCCCAGGGAGACCGACCGCCAGGCCAGCTAATGCGTGCATAATTTTTAATAAATATTTTTCAAGATCCCCAGCTGCAGCTGTGCTGGACTGCCTGTGGAGGCCGGCCGAAAATGCTTCCTGGTTTAATTAATAAAGCCACGGCCTGGAGACGGAGACTAGAGAAGGCACTCCTGGACTGTCCGGACTCTGCTGGTCAACTTGTCAATCAACAACATTTCTGAAACGGTGGCGGCCAGCCTCCAGCCACTATGACCGTGATGATTATGATTATCAATTTCATTATCAGGCCCCGCGACTCGAGATCAACCCGAGGCAAACACTTCCGTTTTAAAAAGGGGGACTTCGTTTCAGGAGTAGCAGGTCCATTGCACCCAATGCAGGCTGCCTCTCAAAAGACCTCCAACTCAATGCCTCCTCACGCAAAAGTCGTCATTATGAAAATATTTACCCGCATCACACCAGCATCTCCGGCAAAAAGCTTATCGTCTGCTGCTCAGCCAGCGCTTATGTTGCCCACGTGTCCGTCCGTTTGTCCGTCTGTCCGTCCGGAGCAGGTTTTTCCTTTCTGGAAATTATGCACTTTGTATGCAGAAAAGTTGGCGAGGCGATAAAAATCTGCATAATTCCAAGCCGCAAGTTTATTGCCATTTCCTAGCGTTCGGAGCAAGGGAGAAAGATGCTTTCGGCGTGGCGAGAGCGAGATAGCTGGAAAAAGAGTTTCCCCTTTTCTTGCTGGCTGTGGCCCTTTCATAATCGTAATCAATATTAAGTTATATGATAAATTATCGGATACCAAATTGCCGCATTTAACTTGTCAAAGGAAATTATCGGAAATTATGCTAAAAAGGGTTTCAGCGGCAGTGGCGGTGAAATTACTTTCGGAACTCCAGACGCTTAACATAACTGTCGATTTGTCTTAAGGGTTATGAGACTGATCGAGGCTATTGGGCCGATCTGAGATCTGATATCGGAGCTGAAGGATAAAATCAGTTAATTGATTTGTTAAAACCTCAAATGGGAAAAAAAGAGAGGATTTAATTACTGTAGCTAGCTTTACGACACTGGTTCTTCAATATAGATTCACATAAAGTTTTAATAGTTTCTCATTTAAATGTAAATTCAGACTGACATGTGGTTTCCGGTGTTGCAATGAACATTTCTCAAAATAGTGAGCAAAAGAACTTTCTCTTGGAAAATTATGATTTTGTCTCCTTACCACCAAACCACAAGGACCGCATGCAGCCTGAAAATCGAATCACAAAACCATAGCCATAAAAACACCTTGGGGCCTCTCAATCAAGTTCAGGTGCATGGCCAACAGACCCAAACAAAATGCTATCCTAATGGCGCTCAAACAAAAAAGTGCCAATGCAAAGAGCCGAGACAATAAGAAATTGGTTGCACCTGCAGCGGTTGCGGGGTATTGTCAGAAGTGGGGGAAGTTGTAATCTTGGCCATTGCACATAGCACAGAGCACAGATCACAGAGCACGTAATTGCCCCACTGGGGGTACATAATGGCGGCAGGAAAGGGAGCAGGCATTATTGCAGCAGCAGTTAGCAGCGGTTCTTTGTGGGTAACCCAAAGCCCAGAGCTGAGGATTTGCCGAAGGCCAGGAAAGGGGCTCCACTTGATGACTGCTCAACTGAGATAAAGAACTGATGGGCGATGGCAGATATTTCCCGACAAGCCGGGAAATTTAAGCAACCGATACATGGATCCAAGTGAAATGGAAATTGAGTGGGGAATTAGCATAGCGGGAGCTTTTTAGTAGGGGAAATTGAGTTACTTTTTATTACTTGCTGAATGTAATTGGGGTCTAGAAGGCAGTTGCTTAATTTCAAGGCGAATTAAGTTATACAGGTCGACTACTGCGAATTATTCATGCGATGCCTAAACGTGTTCAATGTTTAAATTAATAAGCATTCTTATAACTATTCGGTAACATTAGGTAATATTCTGCAGATTGTAGATCTAGGATCTAGTAACATAACATACATCCAACTCAAAGAATCAAATCCATATTGTAGACAGCCTTAATCGTTTAGTTTTTCACAAAATTAAAGCTTTCAAGTGATTAAATTGCAAGCAATTTAACCAATTTAAATAATACACAAAAAATGTTTATACGTTTTCTTCATTAATTCAATTACTTTTGCACATTCGCCGAAAGAAAGTCACCACTGAACTCTGTGGCTAGTTGCTTAAATTTATTTCCTTCCCATTGTCGCTCCAGCACCACAATTAGCCCCGCCCTCGATTCAAGACACTTGATGACTGCCTGCCCCACTCGTTGGATCTGAGTGCTTTTCCAGCACAAAACAGCTCACAACATCCGGTTAGTGGATGCGATTGCGACTGCGACTGCGACTGCTTCTGCACAAATGTTAATTAAATACCTGTCCATCTATTAAAAAACATACGTAAATTTATGTTGTTAACAAGGAAGTGCGCTCTGCGCATGCGCACACTTTTATTATTATCATCAGCATCGCTGTCGTTGCCGGAGTTTGTCGGTTGAATTGGCCGTCGCTCAGCACAAATCAGAGGCAGTGTGGCCAGCACTTGGCCATTTCTACCTGTCCGCCCGATCTTTGCAACTTCCAGCTTCCAGCGTCCAACTTCCTCTATCCCCCTGCCACACATCCAAATACTGGCTGTAACTGTTTGCAGCCATTTGCATATGTCGCCGAACGTTTGCGTTGCGGTTTTAACGATGCGCTGCTGTCGCCACGTCGCTACGTCATTCGCTAATTGGTCGAGATACAAATCGCCACGAGAGAGTGAAGTGACGACGTCGAAGCCTGCAGTCCAAGTTCCAAGTCCCAGGCCCCCAGGAAGAGGATGAGGATGTGGAAGAGGCGTTGCCGGTATTGGCCATCAGCTGACGCAACTGCGGGTGCTGCTGGCGGTAGCTGCACTACAACAAATATCTCACTAACAATGTGTTTTTTATTCCCACGAACAGCATTGACTATTTATTTCTGATACATAAGTATTTTATGTAACTAAACACAATATATTACTATCTTTGTAAAAGAATAGCCTATAAACTTTACAATGAATTTATAAATAGTTAACACTCAGATCTCAAGGAATATTACTTTGTGAAACAATTCGAAGTAAAAAAAGAATGGATTACCATTTTATGGATAAATTTGAGTGGATTTTTTGAAGTGTATCAAGTGCCAAATTGTCATCATTACCTTGCTCTGCCCGTTACCCCGTGTCACCTTTCCCCTCGCCACCAAACAGCGGCACTTTCTTTGCCAACCGTCCAAAAACAAATCGGTGGCTGTGAGTCGCCTCTGTCCCGCCAGATGCTGTCAAATATTTGCTCAAGTGTTTCTGCTTTTCACACCACCCCGCCGAGAAGCCACCGAATCCCCACCCATGAACACCCCACACCACCTCCTCCCATCTTAACCCACCACTCCCCCCTGGGGTGGACACGGCTGGCAATTTGCTTTATGGGATTTACTTGTAGTGGGGATAGGCGGTTTGGCATTTTTGGGAAAGTGGACATCGGAAATTTGGTTAGCCTTAATGCATTCAAGGTGTGATTTTTTCTTTTCGTTTGCCCCCAAATGAACTGGTTCGCCAAGTGTGGAACTCTTGGGATGAGGATCTCTCTAAACAGTCAGTTTATTTGAGAGCTGTGAAGATGAGGTGCTAAACTTGTAGTGGTCATTAAGTTCACCAGATATGGATCTTGGCTGTTATTCTTAAACTAGTTTCAAATGGTTTAGGTATTCAGCTAAAAATAAAATGAAAACACCTGTGATCTAGAGAAGTATACGTATATTCTTGATAGGAGCAATAGGTATTTAGCTATTTGGTTGGATTTTTTCTTTGATTTGCAAATACTCAACAAAAACCCCACCTTTTAAAAGAACATGAATCACTTTACTATTTTGAAAGATATCTTAACTATAGCCATATAAACAGTATCAATAGAACTCACCTTTGTTCTGTACAATGGATTGCTAAAATCCCAATCCGGCGCCACAAATAGATATCCGCATTTGGAGACCTTTCGCGATGCCTAAAAAATGTCGAAAGAGAAATATTAATATTTATGTTAAATAAAAGTGTCGCATAAGACTAATATATACATTTCAATGCTGATGATTGGTTACGGAATATAAATTACATAATTTTGGGCTGGAAAGTCTAGTGAATTGTGAAAATATTTTTAAGCTATTTGATAACAAATGTTCAACAGATAACCAAAAATATTTAATCTTAATTAGCAAAGCAAATTTATTCGGAAATATTATTGGCAAAAAATAAACAAATAAGAAAATTAACGAAGTTATCATATCTCGCTTATCTTTCAACCGGAAAAAAACAATTTTATATGTGTTTCTAATTAAAAAAGTGCCAAATTTTCGTAGCCCCCTTTTGTGTTCGGCTTTAACGCTGTCTGCTTATCGGCAACTTGTTGTGTGTGTGTGGCGCACGTGTTACCTTAACCATACCGCAACCAGATATCTACACACATATATAGTTTTTGCCCAAACTATTCGTCTAAGCCATGACTAATGTTAATGACGTGCGCCAATTTAACTGTCTGCGTGGTATTTTTGGCTTTTATTTTTTGTTGGGGGGTTAAAGCAAATAAAATAAATTACAAGTAGAAACGACTACAAAACCCAGACCACTTGGTGGGGGTGGGTGGGCTCAGGGGGTCTTGGCCTTTGCACACCTCTAGTCTAGAGCAGGCGAACAATAAGCGACAATTGGGCCGCATTTAAAGTGGATTTCGGTCGTTAGTCGCGCCCGCCATTAAGCTGCTGTCGGTCTCTTGTTTTGGATTGTTTTGGTCTGCTTTGGGTGGGTGTACAATGTACATGTATCTGTATCTGTATATATTTCTTTTCGATTTGACAAAGCTGCAAACAAGAGTGCCAAGTGGGGAATAGCACAATGCTCCCAGCAATTGAACCCAACTGAACTGGCATTTAATTTGAGACAGCTCCCGCGGTGGCCTAAGGTCGTCAATCAGCTACTAATTAACGAAAGTGAGACATTTCTTACAATGGGAGCAAAAATATTATGTGCAAATTTATATATATATAAATGAAAAGGTAAAATGTTGATTTTACTAACTAACTATCGGTAATATTAAAGAGATGGTTTTTAATAAATAGAACAGAAAAAAAAGAAATATTCATTCATTAATTGTTAAAGTAAAACGATTTAAAAGTAAACAAAAAATTATTTTATATTGAATATTATACATTTGATTCTTTTGAAGATTTAATTATGTAATCAAGCTTTACTCAGTCTATTGACCTTACAAAAGATAATAAAAGCAAAATTAAAATTGCCCGAAAAATGTTGTAAACTTTTTTGTAATATCGATATTAATTTATCAATTTTATTTGTAAATTGTACTGCCACACTTCTTTAATTTCAAATGGACCACGAATTAAGTCACCTCTTGCGAGTGACCAAACAACCGCAAATAGTGCATGGTATCCCGATTTTTGACTCGATCCCGACCGACCCCGATCATGTCTTGTAAGCTGACACCATAAAATGTTTACAAAACAATAAAATAACAAAAACGAAAACGAAAACCAAAGCCCAAAAACGAAATGTGTAATACGGTAGTGCCCGGCCACTCACTCGCGTCCAAAACTATCCAGCAACTTAACAAAGTGGGCCGAAAAAAAGAGGTAAAACCTCCCACTCCTCTTCCACGGAGGTCTAATCGAGCTACTCTATATACATTTTTTTTTCTTTTTGGGGTCTCCGGCTGTCTGGTTTGCAATTACGCTGGCTAATTTTATTTATCTGGCTTGTGATTTTCTTATTTTTGTTGCATTTTATGATATTCTCTGTGGTTGCTGCTGTTGTTGTTGTTGTCCGTGGTGGGTCGTTTAAATGCGCCATTAACATTGATTTATGTGAAAAGTCGCACGTTTGTATTCAAATAGCTAGGGGAGAGAGAATGAGTGAGAGACTTGCAACAGTTGCAACAGTAGCAGCAATTGCAATTGCAATTGCACTCGCAGTTGCAGTTGCAGTTGCAGTTTGCAGTTTTCAGCTGCTGTCAGGCTTTCATCAGGTTAAGTCAGTCGACACGTTTTCCACATAAATTTCAATGGGTCCGAGAAGTTAAGTGACAGAAATAGGTTCAGTTTTAGTGGGTAGCACCTTCTAACGACCCGTTTTTTCGATCGGGGGCTCACACGATCACCAAATTGCGATCTACTTTTGTCACATTACGGCCACCGCTAAACTGCTCAACGTGTGGCGACTCCGATGGCGAAGAGGGGTTCCAGTTCCAGAGTACCGTTGGCTACTCCTACCGTACTTCTAATACCCGACCACGTAGCCCAAACTACACTGGCACTGCCACTGGCACTGGCAGACATTCAAACATAAATTATCAATGCCAGCCTGGTCGCTGTTTTGGTTGTTTGCAAAATTAAAAAAAACTTATACGTATGGAATAGGCGGGTAAATGGAAAAAAAATCGTGACTAAATGAGTCACAATTGTCTTCCAAATTGTGCGAGCTGTTCCAGAGAAGAACTGATCAAATTAAAAAAAAAATTAAATCTGCTTATATGGATGTAAATATACCCTCAGTAAACGTTTCTTTTATATTAGCTAGTAGCTGTGGAAAAAATTTTGTTCGCATAAGGTCAATCATGCAGTAATATTAAGATTGTAAGTTCGCCTTTAAGCTGTGTTGTATGCCCATTAAGTTAAGCTTTTTAATTAAAAAAATAACAATACAAGTTTAAATAAAGAATGTTTAAGCGTTTAAGAAAAATAAACTTTATATGTGAATGAATGACACATATTTAAATAAGTCTGTGGTTTATATTTTATTTATGTGTAGTTTTTATATACTTTTTATTTGCCGCGCTTGGTGTATTCTAAACCACTTTTTTTTTCAAAATTGCATAATTCAGGAGCCAACTTTAAAGCCTTAACCCAAGCCAACTTCTGTTTTTAGGGTATTTCAAATCAAATTCAAGCCAACTTCTGTTTTTAGGGTATTTCAAATCAAATCCAAGCCACATGCTGAATATTTATACATCGCGCATGTCGTTGCTGACACACAAATGGGAGATTTTTAAACGAAACTGGGCGTTCTGCGGGGATTACGGGGTCTTTTGGGGCTGCGCGTGCAGAATTTTGAGTGAGCCGCTGGGAGGATGGGCGTGGCAACGCCCCCAGGCACTGGCTAATGAAGCAAAGTGCGCCGTGCAAATGTGGACCAACCCAGACAAAAGCCCAACTGATTGATCGCGCCGAGTGAGTAACTCAGCCACAAATGCGAATGCTAATGACAAATCAAAAGGTTGTGACTGCTATTGGGAACTGAGTATGTAGCCGGCTCCAAGGTAATGAACCGTTTTTGGGGCAAATAGTTCCCAAATTTTATCAAAAACCATTTCCGACCGAATGGTTTTGTCAACTTAAAAAAGTCTAAAGTCTTGAATCCCCTAAGAATACATATTAAATACAAATATTATAAATCTCTATCAATCCTATAATTCAATACTAAAACTACAACATAATCTTTGTACATAAAGTCTGTATGAAATCTCATGTGAAATGGATGTGGATATAAATAAAATCAAATAGTGATTTTAAGTATTCAAAACGTAAGACAACAACAAGACAGCTAAAAAAAATCTGCATAAAATTTTTTAATAAGATGGTTTTGTGTAATTTAAATTGAAGATAACATCAATATTCAAATCGAAAAAAACAACAAGAATGTCAAGTGAGAATCAAAACCTAAGCTACTTTTGAGAGTACGACATAATACAGAAAACACTCACTATGAAGTCATGCAAACACAATTATGTATGACAGACACAGGTAACGAATCAAGAGGCGATCGGTGGGATCTTAGCTCATACTTATCCGCAATATATGCAGTCTTATACTTACTGGTTCTGCCAGACTCGACGAGGTTCGCTATTGCGCAAGCGTGCAAGATTCGAATAGAGAATGCATTCGGTTAGTTAGTGAGTTAAATAGTTATAGGCAAAGTCATAGAACGAGAGAGGGGGTTGATGAACGAAAGAACGAAATGACTCAATTAGCAGCGGGGAAGATGTCTCGGATGGGCTGCCAGATGCATTTTGACATTTAGCCACATTCGAGATGACATTCAAGACGCTCGAGATGATGATGATGCCGAGCCCCAACTTACCCCAGCTGCAGCAGCAGCAGCAGCAGCAGCAGCAGCCAAATGAATTTAAATTGCATGAGACCGACTTGTTTTCGATTTAATTTGATAAGAAACCCGGGGCGAGACGGGACGTCGCAGTCGCATACTTATGACTGTGAAATGTCAAATCAAAAGTCACGTTTTTCACTCACTGCCGAGCGCACTGATTTATTGGCAGCGGCCGGGGCTATTAACTATTAACTGAATCGTACCGCTGCCGGCCATAAATCGGCTTCAAGCTCAAGCTCCACTTGCGGAGTTGTGGAAAATTTCACTTTTGCTGCCGCTGCGGCTAATAAGCCAAAAACCGATTGACAAATAAACGATTTGTGGCATCCCCTCCACATATCACGTATGAGCGCACACTCTCGGAACTATATATCTATATATATATATATATATATATATATATATATATATATATAAATACATATATAACGCGTTTAGTTAGTGAGCCGCACGCACACGTGGATCATGTCCACCAATTCCAATTCCAAATCCAAGTCCAAGTCAAAGTCAAGTCAAGTCAAGTCCCAAACAAACCCGCTCCGGCTACGAGTTGGAGTGGAAAGTTGTTTGCAGCTTCAATCTCTTGAATCTCGTCGAATCTCTTGGGCTTTTAACTCAATTTCAGCCTGCTTTAGCTGCGACTTCAGCGCTAGCTCAGCTCTGTTTGTTTATTTATTTTTGTTTATTTATACATGTGTATTTTCAATCTTGCCATTGCAGTTGTTGTTTCGCTTCGAGTTTCTAAGTTGCGGCTTAATAGGCAAGCCGCAACAACAACCATTGGACCAACATCCTCAACCGCAGCGACAACAACCCCAGAAACAACAACAA